GCAGGCATATAACTACATACCTGCATAGATGTGCTAGCTGGAAAGTAACATGCAGACATATAACTACATACCTGCATAGATGTGCTGGCTGTGAAAAAGCAACATGCAGACATATAACTACATACCTGCATAGGTGTGCTAGCTGAGGAAAGTAACATCCTGCATGTTACTTTCATCAGCCAGCACACCTATGCAGGTATGTAGTTATATGCCTGCTGGCTGAGGAAAGTAACATGCAGGCATATAACTACATACCTGCATAGATGTGCTGGCTGAGGAAAGTAACATGCAGACATATAACTACATACCTGCATAGGTGTGGTGGCTGTGCCAGCACACCTATGCAGGTATGTAGTTATATGTCTGCATGTTACTTTCATCAGCTAGCACACCTATGCAGGTATGTAGTTATATGCCTGCATGTTACTTTCATGTTACTTTCCTCAGCCTGCATGTTACTTTCATCAGCCAGCACACCTATGCAGGTATGTAGTTATATGCCTGCAGGTATGTAGTTATATGGCATAGGTGTGCTGGCTGAGGAAAGTAACATGCAGGCTGAGAAAGTAACATGCAGACATATAACTACATACCTGCATAGGTGTGCTGGCTGAGGAAAGTAACATGCAGGCATATAACTACATACCTGCATAGGTGTGCTGGCTGAGGAAAGTAACATGCAGGCATATAACTACATACCTGCATAGGTGTGCTGGCTGAGGAAAGTGACGTGAACCCAACGATGTCACTGAAGTATATTGTCACAGCATCAAAGCCCTCGGCGTCAACTGGATTTCCACCTTTTAGTTGCTCAGCCACCTGTCTGTAATGCAAGAAATCACATCACTTGTCATTACTATCAACACCTGTTACTTCGCGTGATGGCTCATAGATTTGACAGGTAGATTCATGCACGGACTAAAAGGTATGCAGCACGCGTAGAAGCTAATGGAGATAGCAAGCGCGAATATTTAAACTGCCTACATCTTAACCACGTTAATGTCTTTTATTCGGGATATTTCCATAAACGAGACAGACAACGAGAATTCTTAACACGTGAAGAATAAGTAGTTGGCCGATGCGCTGATCGAGGCGTAATAAATTCGAATAAATTTAAATAATAAATGCACTATGTGAGTCTTCATTCGCGCTGTGACGAAATTCGCAAAATAGTGCGCTGCCCTACAACGTTGGCATTGCGTGTAAGCTATAACACAGAAAGACGAATAATACCAGATGGAACCTAATCATACTACGTTACAAAGGCAATACATCGCAGATATACATACGTATATTGCACGTGGGGAATTTCCGATAATAATACGAATACGTTCGAGAATATTGTATTAATACGTCATACGATAAACATGGCGGGCAAACTTTAACTTCAAAGATTAGCATAGACTGCAAACCTTTGAGCGAACCATCCTAGCCAACTAGCTCACAAATCCGGCCTACCGGACCCACCACTACACAGGCACTTATTGTTTACTTCATGTACCGCTGCCACCAGGTTATGATAATGCTCGGGTGGAGCACTGTGGAGTGTTGGTTGCTTCGCCATATAAGCCAACGAAAAAGAGAAACACTTACTTGGGCAACATTCGGTAGAGTAGTTCGTCTGTCTTCTTCTTCTCTTCGATGAGTTGCTGCGTGCGCTCCTGCACTGTGACCTCCAGGTTGGACGAGTACTTCTCCATAAGATCCAGCATGTTATCGAATATGTTAGGTTTCCTAGAACACAACCAACGTGAACCGTTAGAGGGCGAGGCTAGGATATCACGACGTATTTGCGCATGAGATTATCAATGATTATTTAACTAAAAAGCTCTTGAGGGGCTGATTTCATTCTACTAGAGTATAATTGGTAAAAATTCAATTTGGCTAATGGTTAAGTAATCCGTTCGGTGCCTTCTGCGGCAGATTCCGGGGGGGGGGGTTAAATAATACGATCTAGTTCAACTACGTAGATTTGCCTGCGTCTACATATGTAACGGCTTCAAGTTACATTCGCGTCGATCTGTAACAGAATATATGGAGAATGTGATACACTCACATAGAACACTCGGTGCCGTCTCTCTTCTGATAAAATATAGAGACTCTAATCACCGCACAGAAATTTCCTCGCGTTTCCGATTCTTTGCAATCCCCCCCCCCGGTCACGCATCTCAGAGAGCGCAATTGTGATTGCAACTGAGGGATAGAGTGGTATTTCGATGCCGTTCCTAATTACCTAGGCGAGGATAGAAGCGACTTCGGCAGTGCTCACTGATCATCGAATAGTTCCTGTAACTGCTATAATTACGCATTGAGGGTATCCAGTGTCTCTGAGAGCAATATGATAGTATATATATATGTATGTAACGATAACTCACTCGCCGCTGGCGCCGTCTGCGCGTTTAGAGAGAGAAAGAGAAGAAAATATAACATACACCATGCGCATGCGCAACTAACGTCCCCCCACCCCCACACACACACGGGCGGATTCATTGATGTAATGCCTATTACATACTTACGCGCCTGCCTCGTTGGCATATATACTACTAGCTGGGCTACCTGGCGATGCCCGGGATAAAGGAGAAAAGAGCTAGAATTTAGTCTGTCATGACGGCTGTACTGATGTTATTCGGATTTTATAAATCTTGGCGTTCATGTCATCTACGTCCAAATTCTTGGAAGCAAGGATGGCTCGCTCGCTCAGCTAGTCTTGGTCTTGGTAGTGGAGGTGGAGGTTTGGAAAGACTTTGGTCATCAGCTGGGTGATGTCCGCCGCTGCGTTGCTGAATGGCAGCTTGACTTGGCCATCAGCTGTCGTGCCATTGCCGACCTCCAGCAGTTGCTGAGAGAAGCGGCCAGCTTCTTCATCGCCGCTGAGTTGCACCCTCATGATGGTCTTCAGGCTGTGGCAGTTCACCTTGCTCCAGAGGTAGGAGGACTTGATGCAGGCATTGACAGCATCTGCTCTTGTTCCATTGGCGATAACTGGCAAGGTTTGGCGAAAGTCGCCTAAGAGCAGGACAGTCACACCTCCCATGACGTTTGTGTTGTGCCGAAGGTCTTGTAGAGTCTTGTCGAGTGCTTCAAAGGCGCCTTTGTGGCTCATGGCTGCCTCGTCCCAGATGATGAGCTTGCACTCTTGGAACAGCTTGGCCATTGTGGAGCCACGACTAATGTTGCAGGTTGGATTTTGCCGCGCTGCCAGGTTGAATGGCAGCTTGAAGGCCGAGTGAGCAGTGCGCACTCCGTCCAGCAGGGTGGCAGCAATGCCGCTTGAAGCAACTGCCAGGGCAATCTTCCTCGTCTGCCTGATTTTGGCCAGAAAAAGGTTGGTAACGAAGGTCTTGCCAGTTCCGCCAGGAGCGTGGAGGAAGAAGAGGCCGCTACATTTCTCCTCAATGCTTGCGAATATTATTAGATAGTGTCTGTATAGCAAAATAAGCATTCTTCTATACCCTTTCAATATCGGTAACATAGAATCGTTGCATATTGACAGTCTTACTTGGAACTAAAGGAATTCCTACTTTGTCCTTACACAATATAGCAGCCTAACTATTGAAGACAGTGCATATATTACCCCCCGGGGAACAATAACAAATTAATATTCATGAACGTGATTATTTATCTCTTAATGCGAGGCAGAATATTGGCCTCTGGATCTAGTAATTAGATCATAGTTCCGCGCGACTATTTAAGACACTCACCGATGCATAATGGCGCATTAGAAACAGCTACGATGATTGTGACCCCGAGAAATGTCTCTAAATCCTATAGGATTTGCCAGTTATCTATCCTATTAGATAGAATTTAATCTCGTGCTGCTGCAGATACTACGGCAGCCGCTGCTGCTACTAATAATGCTGATGAAACGCAAGCGTATTAAGATTAATTGCTGATTAAAACATATAAACTTAAAACTAACAGAAGCTTACAAACCTTCATTACAGAACATGCAACATCGCCGTTGAATTAAGTTTGTCTAAGAGTAAAATATTCGGGAAGGTATTCGTTGTAAATGATTGTAGACCTCCATGCTCGAAGCTGCTCCACAGAGGTTGTGATTGTATAGGCAATCAACAACAATAATACAGTAACTACGTGCTCGTAGATTGAGGCAAAGCTGAAGGCACGCAGATACATCAAGGATGCAATCATCGCAACATTACATCACATGTCAAGCAGCATGCAGAGTACGCCGCAATCCGTTAATTCACAGTACACGAAGAGAAACACCAAGGGCATCATTAGCTGAGCTTTCGTGTTTTGTATTTCAGGTTGCTTGGAAGTGATGTGACTGTTCTTTGCTATTAAAACAGCCCGAGGGCGCATTCGCGAAAAATTCGGGCACATACTTCATCCTTAGTTATGCGGCTATAAACATTTGTTACTGTCAGTTCTAAGAAACCAGTCACGCGCTGACGCTTACAAACAAGCAGCAACCTCATACATCACATGCCTACGCACGCACGCACGCACGCACGCACGCACGCACACGCGAACGCACGCACGCACGCGTACACGCACGAGCACACACATAGATACATCCACCCATTTATCGGGTAAGTGTGTGCTCATGTTTCGAATGATTTTCGAATCGTGAGGAAAGGAAAGGAAAGGAAAGGAGAGCAACTATAATTGCATTTCGACTAGTGCTGCCCAGAACGTTATACTCACAATCCAGCTTGCATTTGTCGAAGCCGGATCCTGATGAAACGGAAGTCTGGTCGCATTTCCGGGTCCTCCGCCCAGCCATCGCGCATGCACTCAACGATGTACCTACAGACGCACGCATAACTATACAACCTGCTTATTACTCAAGCAACATATTATTCATTCAAATTTATGAACATGTAATGTGTGCGTGTGTGTGTGTGCGTGCGTGCGCGTATGTGTGTGTGTGTGTGTGTGTGTGTGTTCGTGCCCGCGCGCGTGTGTGGGTATGCTAAAACGAATAACACTGTGCTATCATCAGGGTAATCACCATGGAGTAATCTGCCTACAAATAGATGTTCACGATATCACCAACATGTGTTTTCGCGCAGTGTAATGTTGTTTACCAATCATACGTCTACAGGAACGTCTTTCGATGCAACTAGAATACCTACTAATGTATTTACTCAGTATCGCAGTAGGTGCGCACGACACAGCAGTCGTAAATATTGACTGCCAGTGACCGACCTTATTCCCCCAACGTACATCCTCCCCTTGATCTATCTTCCGGCGAGGATAACATACACGCGATCATGGCGTGTGTGTGTTCGTTACCTGTCACAGTTGAGGTTCGCAGTCGGCGGACGGTAGACCTCCTCTATCAGCCCTATATTTCCTTGTTGTACTATACCGCACTTGACCTTCTCCGCGATTTCTACAAACACAAACAGCGCGCATTCTTTGACGACTCGCAAAGTTGTCGATAGCACTGTAAAGTACGCGTCGGGCGATGCACTGACCGGCGGTATCTAGGCCGACACACTCTATAATACTTATTGCATGTTTGTGTCAAATTAGGAAGAATAATGTATCCGCAGACAATTTACTTTCGCCACTGTGTCACCGATCGTTAACAGGAGCTGTAGTATTAGTATTACGTACGGCTTTCTCCGAAACCATATTATGAGGAGTGAATAATAATCAATTATTATTATTATTATTATTATTATTATTATAATTATTATTATAGCTATTATTATATCTATTATATTTACTCTTGATATTATGCCTCCGTGTTTCTATATAGTTTCCTGCATAATCCCCCCCGTACTTCCTTATGAGTAGTGCGTGAGTTCACCTTTATTAGTCATGTTGCAGCGACCGAAGGGGCCTTCCCGGCCCATAATCTCATAAAGGATTATGCAGAATGAATAGACGTCTCCACGCTGCGTTCCCCGCGCCGGCGGATGGCTCATGCGCAGAAGCTCTGGCGCTCTCCATAGCTGACCTGCATACACCAGAGCCATAGAAATATATAGAGATGCCTATGTTATTTCTATGAGGAAAGCGCTGGTTATAGAAGATCCTCATGCGCGAGACTAGAGAATCGGTCCATTTCTACTCCTTTTTAGTTTTACACCATCGCGTCCATCAGATTTTACTCTTTATTAAAATTTGTATTCAGCACATTTACGCGTTTTTCCATTATATGCAATAAGCTATTAATTATTATTATTATTACTACTACTACTACTACTACTATTACTACTACTACTACTAATAATAATAATATTATTAATATTATTATTATTATTATGATAATTGTTATTATTAGTAGTAGTGGTATTAATTTATTAAGTTCATGTGCTATTTTAATTTTCGACGTTGGCATATTTCCGCAGATGTACGTAAATGCATGCGTGCGATCGTTTGCTATTTTCTGCAGAATACTTAGAATGCATATTATGCACACTAATCCGTAAAAAATCTACGCTTGATTGCGGAGAATATTACGGTAAACTATAATTATATTAAGGTAACAATATCAAGGCGGCGCATGATTAGGGCGGCATCATTATCTTCCTGCATCGCTTGCAACTGTCGCTGTCGCTTGCAAATCAATCTGTATATAGTTGCCAGGTACTTATTAGCAACACTGTCTGTAGCTGTGATCTACGCACACATTTTTTTAAATAAAGGTAATCACGTACCACGAAGTGAAAGCTGAAACTGCAGCAATATATTGATAGACAGCGAGTGCAAATCCCTGTCATTTAGACCTTCCTGCAAACTGCTTCCGTAGAGGCATAATAGTTGTATAGCACATGATATCTCTCCGCCCCTCTCTGTTCTCTGTCTATCATTCTCTCTCTCTCTCTCTCTCTCTCTCTCTCTCTTCTCTCTCTCTCTCTCTCTCTATATATAGTATATATATATATAATATATATATCTATATATATTTAATTTATTCATCTATCGTCTCTTTCCATTGTCTTTCTACCTCCCTCTCTTTCTATGCGGTAATGCAACCTAGCTCAGTTCACACGGAGACCTCGTATTTCTAAAAGTACCGGATTTGCGAAATACCGTATCTCGAGGACAAATAAGCGGCGAGCGTTCACACGCTGATTCGCGGCTCACGAAAATACGGTATTTGCGAGCTGCGAGCTGGCTTAGTAACACTCAAGCCAACAGATTGCGAAGTAAACAATGCAATGCGCACAACCTGCCGCATAAATACCGTAGACCTGGTCCGCGGCTCGGACAGTTCCACTCGCCGTTACATCTGAACTGTCGAGCGCGGGACCAGATCTATAAAATTACGGCCGGCTTTCAGAAATCCGGCCATATTTAGCGTTCACACGGGAAAAGCGCGGCCAAGAATCCGGGTATTTCTCAGCCACGGCGCAAATTATTCGGGTCTGGGAAGCCTCGTATCTTACCATGAAATACCGGATCTGTTTTAGATCCCGTATTTCTTGGGCCTCGTCATTTTTGGCTCGTGTGAACGCTAAATCCGGATTTTCTATGCTTACGTGTGAACCGGCCCAATATGGCACCCGCAGCATTGCACGGTGTGTGTCTGGTGTACCTGCACAATATCTATCATATCTCAAACGTGTATGTCTGTGTCTACGTGCGTGCTGTTTGTCTGCCTTACGTACGGGTGCGGGTAGCATGCGCGGTGTGCGCGCGCTGCCGGTACTTATATGATATATCAGCCCTGTACATAGGGAAGAAGCATATATATTCGCGTATGTCGTATTTGTATAATGCAAGCAAGAACATGGTGCTATAGAAGACGACACGGTTTAGATGTTTCGTGAGTTTAAACTACACAGTCGTGCGTGATTGGTAAATCCCGCACATCATCATTTCTCGACACACTGATTCTGGCTTGTTTGTAAACGTCACACGACACCGCTGTGGCGGCTTGAGGATCCACGAACAAATTTTAAAAAATTCTATATGAAATATCGAATGCGAATTCTATAAATAAATAATATGAGTATTCTATAATATATAATTCATGATAATATCGATTATGCATAACGTTCTTAGCCGTAAGCGACGTACGTCTTAGACGTGTCCCTGATCGACGAATTTACCTCCGCTCAGCTCTGAACTCGTTCTTCTTTCGCTCCTGCATGCAGCCCAACGTCCTTCAACTTGCAAAACACAGACGACTTGTCATGACACAGTTCGACGACGATTGGTTCCCGATATGCAGAAATGATTTTCCGAGTTCGTGAATGGTACCATCCATTTCCTGGCAATGACAAAATTATTATAGCACATATGTATTTGCCTGAATTTCTTAGGTGGTCATTAAGCAATTTATCCATCAATTTTCCAGTGTAGGATACTTTCTTATTATTTATATACAATACTGTTATCACATGACTACATACTATTATTATCATATGCATAGTTGACATATTGATTGTCCGGTGGTTGGTGACGACTAACGGACAATGACAATGACGGTGACGACGATGACGATGACGATGACAGTAACGATGGCGATGGCAGAACGTGATGGGTGACATTGCAGATGCATTTACCTTTAATTAAATCCTGAACGAGTGATATGAAATGACATTGTTGTCCAGTTGATATAGTCCTTATGGTTGAGATATCCTACAACGAAAATGAACACGGCTGAGAATCTGAAACAAGAGGGTAAGGTTCAAGCCATTGAATTAAGACACCAGCAATATATATTAGTAGCTTAATACAGGGAGTGGGAGCGAGACCTTTTCGACGTTATTCAACGACACCGTGTTAGATCGAGCCGACAATGAACGCCATAGTTCGTTTTCGTCGGACAAGGCTCAGGCTGCCCATACATTTCATTCTCTTTATTCACAACACTGTCATTCGTTGTAACTAGAAAGGGGCAGTTTGTACGCCAACTACGATGTGATGCCCGGTGGGTTCTGCCCAAGTGGTGTAAGTATACGGGACGTTTAGTCACCGCTAGGGGTCGGTTTTTCTTCGTTGTATTTTTAGCTCTTATGTCTTTTAGATTTTAGTTTAGCTTTCTTTGAGCCTATTTGGGGGCTGTTTTCTCTATCTTCTTCCTTCTCTTATTTTATTCTGTGCTTTAGCATAGTTTCTTTTACTTTCATTTTTTAGATTATATCCTCTTTTTCTTTAGGTCAATTAGGGGCCGAAGTTACAGAGTGGAAGGCGAAATATCGATGAAGGTCAAATCAAGCGCATAGTCAAATAAAGGTTGAAGTGACCTCGGTTTCAGGTATGCGACACACCTTTTCCCCAAGATGTGTAAGTATACACACTTTGGTAGTGCTAGAGTTCAATTCTAGGGACCGAGTTATAGAGCGGAAAAGGAAATATGATTCAGGTCAAGGTAAAGTCAAATAAAAGCTGCCAGTGACCTGGTTTTGGTACGCGACCACACATTCTCCCCAAGATGTGTAAGTGTACCAAGCTTGGGTAGCGCTAGGTCAGATTATCGGCGGCCGAAGTTACTAGAGCGGAAAGGAAATATGATTCAGGTCAAAGGTAAATGGCTCAATAAGTCGCTAGTGAATGCTTTTCGCGTTACGCGACCACACCTGCTTTCCCAAGATGCTGTAACATATACCAAGTATTCGGTAGCGCATAGGTCAATAGGGGCGAGTGGAGAGAGCGGCAAGACGGAAAAAAAAAAATTATTTGATCAAGGTCAAGTTAAAGGTCAAAATAAAAGTCGCGTGACCTGGTTTTGGTACGCTGCTCACCTTCTCCCCAAGTATTTGTAAGTTATACAAGTTTGTTATTACGCGCTAGGTCGAATTAGGGTCGAGTTAATAGAGCGGAAGGTAAATTCTCTGCGGCGGACCGAGCGGCGGCGGCTGCTGGCGGCCGGCTGGGGAGAACATGAAACCATTAGTATCCCCGCCGACTTCGTCGCGGAGGATACAAATAAAATTATTTTGTACATTACTACATTTCCCGTTCCGTTCCTTCGCTACAGTTTCACTCACTCTACTCCGCGTTTTTCTACTATTCCCGTTGCTTAACTGTTTCTTTACTCATAACAATACTTTTATTGCCAGCTTATTTATTGTTCTTCCGTATTATTATTTTCTTATTATTATATTACCACAATTAGTCTAATTGTTATTGATTTATTAAGTTTAGGTGCCAGTCAGTGGCCGGTGTGCGGGGGCAGGATGATTTCCCCCGTGGTTTCGGGGGTCATTTGTCGTTGCCTAGCTGCCGTGCTGTATTGCTTGATACCTGCAACGGCCATTCATATAACGACCTAATTGGCGTTGTTACGGCGCCCTGGAGCTTCCACCAATGCCCTTGCCCTTGGTAATAGTACAGCCGAGATATCAGAATACAGATCTGTAATTCATATCTATGGTAAACAGAGATGAAGGCAGGTCCGGTACCAAGTCATGTGTCTGACTCAATAGTGGTCCCTAATATATAAGTTATATATTTTATAATTATATATATTATTGATTATATATAGGTCCCTATAAGGTCCCTATAAACTATATATGTAATAGGGTCCTATATACTATAACTTTATTATATAGGGACCCTTAACTTCAGAGGTCTGTCGAGCTACCTCGCCGGCGGACATAAGCAATTTACGCTCGCCTTGGGTAAATTACTAGTCATTAGAGCACGCCGTGGAAGGCACCAGCCCGTGTGATGTTAGCGAAACATCTTATTACGTAGCGGAATAGAGCGGAAAAGTGAGGACGAGACGTAATAAGGCAGCCGATGAAAGGAAGCAAGCTTTTACCACGGGGCCGCTTACATGCGATTACGGAACGGTGGACCTTTCTGATTCCAGCTACTGCTCTATTGTTCGTGCCGTCACCACGTGGAAGATTTATAGTGACTCTAGCGGACCGACATGGCGTCACATGTCCAGCCGACGTCCCTGCGGACACAATGAGCGCTAGCGCTGTAAGCATGGGATTTAGCAAGTGTCGACGTCACGCCGATTGACGCTGACGCTGGAATTGATTTGAGGCGCGTGTCGCCACGCGATGACGACTGCGCTGGGATTGGTATTCGGACGCGTCATCGCCCAGGCACTCGGTCCAGCACGTAGTCCGCGCACGCACGATGCGCTGGACGCTGGGATTGATCTTGAGCAACGTTGCCCGGCCACGCGATGACGCTGACGCTGGATTGATTTGAGCGCGTAGTCGCACGCCGATTTGGACGCTGACGCTGGATTGATTGAGCACGTGTCCGTCATGCGATGACGTAGTTCACACTCATCTGCGCGTCCGCAGTAGTCGCTGACGGTTATAGAGTTTCGGCGAGACTGCAGGAAGATATCTATTAGATATCTATTATATTCTATATAAGATATATATCTATATACATAATCATATATTCATCTATCAGATTTAGGTCTGAAATAAAGCAGGCATGAATTAGTGTACGATTACCGACATGCTTATAGATGTAGTATAGGTATAGTTTTTTTTTTTTTTTTTTTTTTTTTTTTTTTTTTTTTTTTTTTTTTTTTTTTTTTTTTTTTTTTTTTTTTTTTTTTTTTTTTTGATTTTTTTGTTTTTTTTTTTTTTTTTTTTTTTTTTTTTTTTATTTTTTTTTTTTTTTTTTTTTTTTTTTCGTTATCATCAGGAGTGTATCAAACATTTGATTACACTCCTGATTATATATATATTATTATAAAATTATGCTATATCAGTTTTAGAAAGCCGCTCTGGGTGACGAGCACGAGGGCTTGGCGATGTTAGACCGTAATTCATCCTAGTCTAGGTAGCACGCTTGGATTACGGCGGCAAAGCATTAAAACATTAATGTTACATGGTCGTAACGATGATTGCTCGCATTGCGGTGCAGCCGAGCAGACAAGCGTGCGCGACGAGAGAAGAATGGAGAGTAGAAGTGGCGACGACTAGAGAGGGGGAGGGGGAGAGAGAGACTAAGGGAGAGTGTGATGGCTGAGAGAGAGAGAAGAGGGAGAGAGACGAGGGAGAGTGAGGCGAGGCGGGGGGAGAGGTGAGGAGAGAAAGGGGAAGAGGGAAGAGAGGGGGAAAGTAAAGTAAGGAGAGGAGAGAGAAGAAAAGGGGAGAGGGAGAGGGAGAGGAAAGAGAGAGAGAAAGGACGGAGGAGAGAGGAGAAAACGAGGATGAGAACGAGGGAAGAGAGAGAGCGTGAGACGCGATGAAGCAATGAGAAAAGAGACAGAGAGGGAGAGGAGAGAGAGAGAGGATTACAGCGTGCGGCGGATAGAGCATCGAGGGGAAATGGCAAAAAAAAACCTGAACAGACGCCGTAGCGCCTCCCCGCGCGAAACGAGAAAGAGGAGAATGCGAAGATGGGGGCGGGGCGGGGAGAAAGAGAGAGAGAGAGATGGATGAGAGATGAGAACGGAGAGCCAGAGAGAGAGAGGAGAGCGAGAGAGAGAGATGAGACGCCTGATGAGAGAGAAATAGAGAGAGAGAGAGGAAGAAGACTGAGAGGCGAGGAGAGCGAACGAAGAGAGAGAGAGAGACGAGAAGACAGAGAGCTCGGAGAGAGGAGAGAAGAGAGAGAGCAGAGAAATTACCACGAGGTCTAAATGGCAATAGAATAACAGCATGTATAATACCGGGTTGGTTTCATGACCGCAGGTGACAGGAGAGCGAGATCATTGCTTAATTAGCATGATCTCAATCACGGATCTCCTCCTTACTCTAACTTCTATGACGTCATTACTACGATGTGATTTCTCTCGGGACGAGGTACTGATGTGGCGCGAATAACATACACCATGCGCATGCGCAACTAACGTCCCCCCGCCCCCACACACACACGGGCGGATTCATTGATGTAATGCCTATTACATACTTACGCGCCTGCCTCGTTGGCATATATACTACTAGTTGGGCTACCCGGCGATGCCCGGAATAAAGGAGAAAAAAGCTAGAATTTAGTCTGTCATGACGGCTGTACTGATGTTATTCGGATTTTATAAGTCTGTCCCAAGAATTTCACTTCTGTTCAGTTCTGCAGCGCTTCTTGGTACACAGCATTTTTGGTCTTGCCATCTTGAGAGAGGATGTGGAGGTTGTCTGGGTTACCCACCCTGGAGCACCACACATAGAGCTGGTCATGGGAGAACACTGGCTGACTGAGGTTGAGTCCAACCACCTTGAGGAACTGGCCCTGGGCCTTGTTGATAGACTAGAAACTGCAGCCTCTTGAACTCAAATAGTAGGTCTGATGGGATGAGCGGGATCCTTGGGATGAAGACATTTTCGCCCTTGCCCTTGCCTGTCATGATTTTGGCTTCAATGACTCTGGGCATGAGCTGCTTGACTGTGAGCCTTGTGCCGTTGCAGAGCTTGGGAGCATCCAGGTTGCGCATTAGCAATATGGGCGCGCCGACCTTGAGCACCAAGTTGTGTGGTGGCAGACCTGAGGGCGCGAGGCTGTTGAAAAACTCGGTCGGATAGTGCACCACCTGGTCAGGACCAGGAACTGTGTCCATCGATTTGTAGCTCGTTGGGTCGCCAGGCAGTTGCTCCAGCAGCTTGGCGTTGATGTCATCCACGGCCAAATTCTTGGGAGCAAGGATGGTTCGCTCGCTCAGCCAGTCTTGGTCTTGGTAGTGGAGGTGGAGGTTTGGAAAGACTTTGGTCATCAGCGGGTTGATGTCTGCCGCTGCTTTGCCGAATGGCACCTTGACTTGGCCATCAGCTGTGGCGGTGAATCTGCCATTGCCGACCTTCAGCAGTTTCTGAGAGAAGCGGACAGCTTCTTCATCGCCGCTGAGCTGCACCCTCATGTTGGTCTTCAGGCTGTGGCGGTTCACCTCGCTCCAGAGGTACGACGACTTGATGCAGGCATTGACAGCATCTGCTCTTGTTCCTTTGGCGATAACTGGCAAGGTTTGGCAAAAGTCGCCTGAGAGCAGGACAGTCACACCTCCCATGACGTTTGTGTTGTGCCGAAGGTCTTGTAGGGTCTTGTCGAGTGCTTCAAAGGCGCCTTTGTGGCTCATGGCTGCCTCGTCCCAGATGATGAGCTTGCACTCTTGGAACAGCTTGGCCATTGTGGAGCCACGGCTGATGTTGCAGGTTGGATTTTGCCGCTTTGCCAGGTTGAATGGCAGCTTGAAGGCCGAGTGAGCAGTGCGCCCTCCGTCCAGCAGGGTGGCAGCAATGCCGCTTGAAGCAACTGCCAGGACAATCTTCCTCGTCTCCCTGACCTTGGCCAGAAAAAGGTTGGTAACGAAGGTCTTGCCAGTTCTGCCAGGAGCGTCGAGGAAGAAGAGGCCGCTACATTTCTCCTCAATGCTTGCGAATTATATATATATAATTTATATCCATCTATCTCTCCTTCCATTTCTTTCTACCTCCCTCTCTTTCTATGGGGTAATGCAACCATATGACACCCGCACATTGCAGGTGTATGTGTCTGTGTGTACCTGCACTAATAATCTATCATAATCTCAAACGTGTATGTCTGTGCCCACGTGTGTGTTTGTCTGCCTACGTACGTGCGTGTACGCATGCGCGGGTGCGTGCCGGTACATTTATGATATATCATCCCTGTCATAGGAGAGCGTATATGCGTATGTCGTATTTGTCATAGATGCAAGCAGAACATGTTGCTATAGAAGACGACACGGTTTAGATGTTTCGTTAGTTTAAACTACACAGTCGTGCGTTGATTGTGTAAATCCCGCACATCATCATCTCGACATCATCATTCTCGACACACTGATCTGGCTGTTGTAACGTCAACACCGACACCGCTGTGGCGGCTTGATGATCACGACATAAAAAATTCTATATCAAAATATAGAATGCGAAATTCCTATAAATAAATATATGAGTATTCTATAAATAATATAATTCATGAATAATATCGGATTATGATAACGTCTTAGCCGTAAGACGTACGTCTGTAGTACGTGTCCTGATCGACTAATTCCTCTGCTCCAGCTCTGAACTCGTGCAGCCCAAAGTCCTTCACTTGCAAAACCCAGCGACTGTCTATGACACAGTTCGACGACTTGAGGTTCCCGTGAGAAATGATTTCCGAGTCGTGAAGGTACATCATTCCCTGCAATGACAAAAATATATAGCACATATGTATTTGCCTGATTTCTTAGTGGATCATTAAAGCAATTTCTCCATAATTTCCAGTGTAGCATACTATTCTTATTATTTATATACAATATTGTTATCACATGATACATCTATTATTATCATATGCATAGTTGAATATTGATTGGTCCGGTGGTGGTGACGACTACGACAATGACAATGACGGTGACGACGATGACGATGACGATGACAGTAACGATGGCGATGGCAGTAACGATGATGGTGACGATGCAGATGCACTTACCTTAATTAAATCCTGAACGAGTGATGCAATGAACATGTTGTCCAGTTGTATATCCTTATTGTTGAGAATATCCTACAACGAAAATGAACACGGCTGAACATCTGAGAACAAGAGGGTAATCAAGCATTAAATTAAGACACAGCAATATATATAGTAGTAATACAGTGAGTGGGGCGAGACTTTTCGACGTTATTCCACGAACACCCGTGTTAGATCGAGCGCCAATGAACGCATAAGGTCGTTTTCGTCGGAACAAGGCTCAGCTGCCTATGCATACATTTCATTCTCTTTATCACAACACTTCCATCGTTGTAACTAGAAAGGGCAGTTGTCGCCAACTACATGTATCCCCCGTGTTCTCCCCAAGATGTGTAAGTATACGAAGTTTGGTCGTGCTAGGTCAATTAGGGGCCGAGTTACAGAGTGGAAGGGAAATATGATGAAGGTCAAGATCAAGGTCAATGTCAAATAAAGGTTGCAGTGACCTGGTTTCGGTATGCGACACACCTTCTCCCCAAGATGTGTAAGTATACCAACTTTGGTAGTGCTAGGTCAATTCTGGGCCGAGTTATAGAGCGGAAAGGAAATATGATCAAGGTCAAGGTAAAGGTCAAATAAAAGCTGCAGTGACCTGGTTTTGGTACGCGACACACATTCTCCCCAAGATGTGTAAGTGTACCAAGTTTGGTAGCGCTAGGTCAATTAGGGGCCGAGTTATAGAGCGGAAAGGAAATATGATCAAGGTCAAGGTAAAGGTCAAATAAAAGTCGTAGTGAACTGGTTTTGGTACGCGAACACCTTCTTCCCAGATGTGTAACATAGACCAAGTTTGGCTAGCGCTAGGTCAATTAGGGGCCGAGTTAGAGAGCGGAAGGGAAATATGATCAAGGTCAGGTAAAGGTCAAATAAAGGTCGCAGTGACCTGGTTTTGGTACGCTTGCTCACTTCTCCCCAAGATGTGTAAGCTATACCAAGTTTGGTAGCGCTAGGTCAATTAGGGTCGGCAGTATTAGAGCGGAAGGGAAATTCTCTGCGGCGGACGAGCGGCGGCGGCTGCGGCGGCCGGCTGGGGAGACATGAAACATAGTATCCCCCCGACTTCGTCGCGAGAGATACAATTAAATTATTTTTACATACTACATCCCGTCGTTCCTTCGCTACAGTTCCCTCACTCTACTCCCGTTTTCTCTATTCCCGTTGCTTAACTGTTTCTTTACTCTATATATACTTTTATTGTAGCTTATTTATTGTTCTTCTTATTATTATTTCTTATTATATTATTACACAATTATCTATTGTTATTGTTTATTAAGTTTCAGGTGCATCAGTGGCCGGGTGCGGGCAGGATGATTTCCCCCGTGGTTTGGTCATGTCGTTGCCTAGCTGCCGTGCCTGATATTGCTTGATACCTGCACGGCATCATTAACGACCTAATTGCGTTGTTACGGCGCCCTGGGCTTCCACAATGCCCCCTTGCCTTGTTAATAGTAACAGCAGAGATATAGATACAGATCTGTATTCTATATCTATGGTAACAGAGATGGGCAGGTCGTGACAAGTCATGTCTGACTTTCAGATAGGGTCCCTATATATAATTATATATTATAATTATATATATATTATTATATAATAGGGTCCCTATAAGGTCCCTATAAATATATAATGTAATAGGGTCCTTATACTATAATTTATATATAGGGACCCTAACTTCAGAGCGTCTGTCGCGCCTCCTCGCGGCGGAAATAGCAATTACGCTCGCTTGGTAATTACTAGTCATTAGAGCACGCGGAAGGCACAAGCCGTGTGATGTTAGCGAAACATCTATATACGTAGCGGAAATAGAGGCGGAAAAAGTGAGGACGAGAGTAATAAGGCAGCCGATGAAAGGAAGCAAGCTTCTTCCACGGGGCCGTTACGTTAGCGAACGGTTGACCTTCTGATTCCAGCTACTGCTCTATTGTTGTGCGTCACCACGTGGAGATCTATGTGACCTCTAGCGGACCGACATGCGTCACATGTCCAGCCCGCGTCCCTGGCGACCAACAATGACGCTGCCGCTGTAAGCATTGATATTAGCAAGTGTCCGTCACGCGATGACGCTGACGCTGGGAATTGATTGAGCGCGTGTCCGCCACGCGATGACGCTGACGCTGGGATTGATTTGAGCGCGTGTCCGCCACGCGATGACGCCGACGCTGGGATTGATTTGAGCACGTGCCCGCCACGCCGATGACAGCTGCGCTGGGATTGATTGAGTGAGCCGTGTCCGCCACGCGCATGACGCTGACGGCTGGGATTGATTTGAGCACGTGTCCGTCATGCGATGACGTAGTCACACTCATCTGCGTCACAGCAGTAGTCGCTGACGGTAGAAGTATTCGGGAGACTGCAGGAAGATATCTATTAGGATATCTTATATATATCTATATAATATATATATCTATATATGTAATATATATTCATCTATCAATTAGGTCTGATAAAGCAGGCATGAATACCTGTACGGACCGACATGCTTATAGATTATATATAGGTATATACATTATATCAGGAGTGTATCAAACATTTTGATACACTCCTGATTATATATATATTATTATAAATATGCTTATCAGTTTTGAAGCGCTTGGGTGACGAGACGAGGCTTGGCATGTTGACGTAATTCATCTATCTAGGTAGCAGCTGGATACGGCGGCAAAGCCATTAAACAAATTAATGTACCTGGTCGTAACGATATTGGTCGCATTCGGTGCAGCCAGCAGCAAGCGTGCGCGCACGAGAGAGATGGAGAGAGAGGGGAGATAGAGAAGGGGAGAGAGAGAGAGAGAGATAGGGAGAGTGTGTGTGAGAGAGAGAGAGGGAGAGAGAGAGGGAGAGTGAGAGCGAGGGGGAGAGGGAGAGAGAAAGGGGAGAGGGAGAGAGGGAGAGAAAGTAAAGAAGGAGAGAGAGAGAAAGAAAAAGGGAGAGGGAGAGGGAGAGAAAGAGAGAGAAAAGGACGGAGAGAGAGAAACGAGAGAGAGAGGGAGAGAGCGTGAGCGCGATGAGAGAGAAAGAGAGACAGAGAGGGAGAGGAGAGAGAGAGGTACAGCGTGCGCGAGATAGAGAGGGGGAAAGGAAAAAAACGAGAGAGCGCGCGCGAAACGAGAAAGAGAGAGAGATGGAGATGGGGGGGGAGAGAAAGAGAGAGAGAGAGAGAGAGAGAGAGAGAGAAGAGAATGAGAGGAGAGAGAGAGAGAGAGGCGGAGAGAGAGTAGAGAGAGGAGAGGAGGAGAGAGAGAGAGAGAGAGAGAGAGAGAAGAGAAGACGAGCGATTAGGAGAGCGAGAGAGCAAGAGAGGAGAGAGAGAGACGAGAGAGAGAGAGCTGAGAGAGAGAGAGAGAGAGAGAGAGAGAGAGAGAGAGAGAAATTACCACGAGGTCATAAATGGCAATAGGAATAACAGCATGTATCATACCGGGTTGGTTTCATACCGCGGTGACAGAGAGCGAGATCATTGCTAATAGATGATCTCAATCACGGATCTCCTCCTTACTCTAACTTCTATGACGTCATTACTACGATGTGATTTCTCTCGGGACGACTAACCGATGTGGAGCGAATAACATTCACCATGCGCAAG